AGTTGATGACTGTTAGAAGACAGGATGTTTAATATTATTATTATGACGTGTATAACTGTAGCTATAGCCATAATATTTTCTTATGTTTAATGTTAGGATATGTCACTAGAGGTCGTGTTAGCATGTTTTTAGCTACACACCACATAATCAACAGACATTCACACATTGATTTTTCTCATGTTTTGACTACTGCTCTGGGCAGCTGCAAAGCTGTCCCTGGGAGACGCCACGGTTTGGTGTCTCTCCTTGTAGAATGGGGTTAGCCCGAAGTGATATAATGTATAGGCCTGTTGTGGTTCGGGGGCTTTCATCTTTCAGCTGCCTGCGTGCATGTTGGAGGTGCAAGATACCTGAGCATGTAGTGTTAATTTTTACCTGTGTTCATTGAATAAATCAGCACTGTTTTGAAGTTACTTGGACTGCTTCGTCTCTCAGAGTTAGCATGGTAAAACGTATCGGACTGCAACACTCAAAACAGTGGAGATGACAATGGACTTCAGGAAGAACCCTCCCACCTTGCTCCCCCTCAACATACTTGGCAGCACTGTATCAGCAGTAAAGTCCTACAAGTTCCTTGGCTCCACTATCTCCCAGGACCTGAAGTGGATGTCCAACATCAGGACTGTCATTACGAAGGCACAGCAGAGGATGTACTTCCTGCACCAGCTCAGGAAGTTCGACCTGCCCCAGGAGCTGCTGATACAGTTCTACAGAGGAATCATCAAGTCTGTTCTCTGCACCTCCATCACTGTCTGGTTTGGCTCAGCAACCAAGCAGGACAAGTACAGACTTCAGCGGACAGTCAGGACTGCAGAAAAGGTCATTGGTGTGAGCCTGCCCTCCATGGAGGACCTGTACACCTCACGGGTCAAAAGGAGGGCAGAGAGGATCACTGCAGAACCCTCACACCCTGGACACAATCTGTTTGAACTCCTCCCCTCTGGACGGTGTTACAGGTCACTGTGCACCAAGACAACCAGCCACAGGGACAGTTTCTTCCCTCAGGCCGTCACTCTGATGAACACTTAACCATCGACAGTATGACTGGACAATAACCCTCAGTGCAACACCTGTAAATATACCTTGTACAGATTATAGAGACTTGTACAGGTTTCTAGTTTTAAGTACTCTATTTTTATCCCTATTTATCTCATTTCAATGAATGTTCCTTTGTCTGCATTGTTTACTGTCTGTTTATACTGCTTACTCTGCATTGCTTGCACTGTTTGTTGCTGTCAATATTGCTGTTAATACTGCTTATTTTGTTATATAACACAGCCTTATGCTGGTTTACTGTTTGCACATTGAGAGCCGATGTACCTGAGTCAAATTCCTCGTGTGTCCGCCACACCTGGCCAATAAAACTGATTCTGAATCTGATTCTGAAAATATTGCATTGTGTTTTATATTCATGCAATCTCATAAAGAACTAGTGTACAATACAGTATGTTCATGGACAAACACACATTGTACCAGAGGTACAAAACACTGGCCTCTAGCCAGTTTGTGAACAGCTAATATATCATCATTTGTAGCTTCTGACATACAGTGTGCCTGTATTGCCCCTGGAACTTGTAGCATTATCTCTATCATTCTGCCTGCTATAAACAGAATTACTGCATGGTTATGGCCAAGTTATCTGCCAATTTGCTTAGTAAAGGATAGCTGTAGAATATAGCCTCACGATACAGTAGCTATTACACTCAGTGGGCCAGAGTTCCTTTCCTGTGTGTATGTTGACATGGCACTACTGCCTGCTGAATGCAGTAAGACACCAAGCCTGTCCAGGCTCACCTCAGTTAGTGGTCCTACTAAAGCAAAGCGTGTTCTTGCTTCATCTTTTCCCAGCGAATGTCCACTGTGGTGATGCAGAGCCTGGCCTACGTGCAGCACTCTTCTTCTGTGCCTGGAGCTAAGCTGTTCATCAGTGGAGACCTGAGGCTGCAGCAGAGGACACCCCTGCCTCACCGGGGACTCTACAATATTTACAATGTGAGAGGACACAGACTCACTGTCTTTCTCTCTGTCCACCTGTTCTCACTCCCTTGTTTTCACATTTTCCCTTTTGCACCAGTACAAATGAAATTAGAGCCAACTTTGCCAACCATGACTAAGGGAAAATCTTTACTGGCACACACCCAGACTCTACCTCAGTCACATGGTCCATCCTGGAACAATCTGGCCGACCATTCTGCAGGAAGGTGGTGCATGCAAAACAGTCAACAAAGAACATTTGTGAAAGGGAACTTTTATTATTGAAAGAAGGTGCAGCAGTGAGCCAGGAACTCAGACAGTGATAGGGCCAACGAAATAGAAGGGAGCATTTTACTGAAGCTAAATTCTGTTGAAAATCCACTTACCGAATCTAAATCCTTATTGGATCTGTTAAAGAAAAGTGTACCATTTTACTAAGTGCAGCAACAACAGAAATGTCAAGTGTTTTGTGTAATATTGAAGAATCTACCTTGTTTGAACCTTGTTAATTACACCATTGGTCATTTTAATTGGGGTTTACCAGAGAAGCATGAGGACTGTAGGGCTTTCACCACACATTATCACTGTTCTGTGACATTCATTAACACTGTCCTCTCTCATTTTAGTTTTTGTTGCATTTGCTTCTGAGAATCAGAATCAGCTTTATTGGCCAGGTGTGCTGGTCACCTGAGAGATTTCACATCAGTACAATGGCTTTCAGTGTGCATGTACAATGCGCTTCTTCCATAAGGCAACGAGTAAACAAGTAAACAAGATAAGACTGAGAGAACAAAAAAAAAAAAAAATAATGTGCATGAGGAAAAAATATTTATAAATATAGAAATATATACAGTATATATAACATAGTATATGCACATGCAGTTTTTCAGATAGGCATAGAGTCATGGCCAAAAGTATTGTATTTCTATCAGAAAACTGTTGAAATCATAAATTCTTTGGTAATAAATTCTTTCATGTCATGTTTATTTTTTTTGTTTGTATTGGAACAACACAAAAAGCCAAATCTGAGCCATTCCACACAGAACTCCGAATATGAACTGGACAGAATTATTGACACATTTTCAAAACCATAAGAAATAGTTGTATTTCCAGCTTGTGATGCTCCTTTAATTGAGAAGTGGTGCGTTATCTGACAGAAATGCAGGGGTGACGATATGTTTGGCCATGACTGTATACAAAAGTATATTTACAGGTGTTGCACTGAGGGTTGTTGTTCTGTTATACAGTCATGGATTAACTCTTCAGCGTGGTGGCCCAGGGGAAGAAACTGTCCCTGTGGCTGGTTGTCTTGGTGTACAGTGACCTGTAACACCGTCCAGAGGGGAGGTGTTCAAACAGGTTGTGTCCAGGGTGTGAGGGGTCTGCAGTGATCCTCTCTGCCCTCCTTTTGACCCGTGAGGTGTACAGGTCCTCCATGGAGGGCAGGCTCACACCAATGACCTTTTCTGCAGTCCTGACTGTCTGCTGAAGTCTGTACTTGTCCTGCTTGGTTGCTGAGCCAAACCAGACAGTGATGAAGGTGCAGAGAACAGACTTGATGATTCCTCTGTAGAACTGTATCAGCAGCTCCTGGGGCAGGTCGAACTTCCTGAGCTGGCGCAGGAAGTACACCCTCTGCTGTGCCTTCTTAATGACAGTCCTGATGTTGGACATCCACTTCAGGTCCTGGGAGATAGTGGAGCCCAGGAACTTGTAGGATTTTATTGCTGATACAGTGCTGCTGAGTATGCTGGGTGGGGGGCTCCTCCTGAAGTCCAGCATGATCTCCACTGTTTTAAATGGGTTCAGCTCCAGGTTGTTGTGACTGCACCATAGGACCAGCTGTTCAACCTCCCATCTGTAGGCTGACTTGTCCCCGACTTGTCCTGCAAACTTCAGGAGCTTGACAGAGGGGTCCTCTGAGGTGCATGCGTTTGTGTAGAGTGAAAACAGAGGAGGGGAGAGCACACATCCCTGAGGGGCACCTGTGCTTATTGTCCGGGTGCCGGATGTGGTTTTCCCCAGCCTCACCTGTTGCTCCCTGTCTGTCAGAAAGGTAGTAATCCACTGACAGGTGGGGGCAGGCACAGTGAGCTGGGTCAGTTTGTGGTGGAGGATGTCCGGGATGATGGTGTTGAATGCCAAGCTGTAGTCCCGTCATACTGTTTTTAGTCTAGTCACGTTTCAGTCAACTAAAAGTCTGAGCATTTTAGTCTTATTTTAGTCAGAATTATCCATGACTATTTTCATCTAGTTTTAGTCGACGAAAACTGATGACATTTAGTCTAGTTTTAGTCATTGAAAATTGTATTTTAGTTTCTTTTTAGTAATGCAGTTCTATTTAACCCAGTCAATATAGTATAAGTACCTAGTAGTATAGACGAAACAAAAATTTTCTTTTAGCCAAACCCATTTCAAACAAGATTATCTTATTATATTATTGTTACCTTATAGCACATGTGTCAAACTCAAGGCCCGCGGGCCACATCTGGCCTGGCGTATCTGTCAGATTTTGCCCCCTTGTCGAGATATACCACCTTGTTGCAAAATCTATGGACTGACTAACCCCGCGCCAATCCATCCCCCTAACCACTTTGTGAACGGTGGGTAGCACGTCTTGATGGGTAGCAAAATCTGACAGAACACCGGTAAACCCGTGCGTCTTATTTGTGGAGCTAATGTGGCTGTAATTGAGGAATATCTCCTAAGACGGCACTACGAGACAAAACATCAGGACAAACTGAAAAACGTGAATGCAGAGCAAAAGCTACAGAAAGTAGAGGAGTTGAAGAGGAATCTGACATCACAGCAGACATTTTCACCAAAGCAAAATCACACAGTGAAGCTGCTGTGAAAGCAAGTTTTATTTCGGAAGAGGAGATAGCCAAATCAGCCCGGCCATTTACCGAGGGAGAGTTTCTGAAGAGCTGCATGATGAAAGTGTGCGACGTCTTGCGTCCAGGCAAAAAGCAGGTGTTTGCAAATGTAAGCCTTAGCGGAAATACGGTTGCTGATTTTAAGTTCAAGTTTATTTATTTTGGAATAATATTGTATCCTGTCTGTCATATTTATGTTCAAAACACGTTTAGTTTTAGTCTGTTCAATAAATTTTTATCCTGTTCGGCCCGCAACCTAAAGTGTGCTTTGAGTTTTGGCCCCCTGTGCGATTGAGTTTGACACCCCTGCCTTATAGACTCAAGAATACATCCAATACACACCGCATTTCTAACAGGGGGTCTACGATGTCCTTCAGGTGGGCCAGCACCAGTCTTTCAAAGGACTTCATAACTACAGATGTCAGGGTGACAGGTTTGTAGTTATTGAGACTGTTGATGGAGGTTTTCTTGGGGACCAGGCTGATGGTGGAGCATTTGAAGCAGGAGGGGACTTCACACAGCTCCAGTGACCTGTTGAAGATGAGTGTGAAGATGGGGGCCAGCTGATCGGCACACACTTTCAAGCAGGAGGGGTTCACACCATCTGGGCCTGGTGCCTTTCTGATCTTTTGTTTTTTTAAAGAGGCCGCGCACATCCTTTTCATGGATCTTCAGGGGTGGGGGTGCTGGATCTGAGGTAAGGTGGGTGAGGGGGTGTGAAGTTCTGCTTCTCAAACCTGCAGTAAAACAAAATGATGGGTTTTCAGAGTGGCTCCTCTTTGCTACTCTGATTTCCTTTGTCAGTGTGTTCCTGGCCCCATTAAAGCCAGTTGCTGTGTTAAAGGGAGGCTTGGCATCTGCTACACTGACCTGTTTTTTATGTTCAACCACAGTTCTACAGAGGTAACAAAACACAAATTATATTAGTAATTTGTCACAATAGGTGAAATATGACTGAGGTATGAAAAATTATGCAAACGACAATGTAATTAGCAAATATGAATTAAGATTCCAACGATTATAGTTTATATACAGTGGTACGGAAAGTATTCAGACCCCCTTAAATTTTTCACTCTTTGCTATATTGCAGCCATATGCTAAAAGCATTTAAGTTCATTTTTTTCCTCATTAATGTACACACAGCACCCCATATTGACAGAAAAACACAGAATGTTTGACATTTTTGCAGATTTATTAAAAAAGAAAAACTGAAATATCACATGGTCATAAGTATTCAGACCCTTTGCTCAGTATTTAGTAGAAGCACCCTTTTGAGCTAATACAGCCATGAGTCTTTTTGGGAATGATGCAACAAGTTTTTCACACCTGCATTTGGGGATCCTCTGCCATTCCTCCTTGCAGATCCTCTCCAGTGCTGTCAGGTTGGATGGTAAACGTTGGTCGTCATGTTTAACATGTCATTTTGCTTCAGTGGCATTTTGGTCTGTTTCACCCAGATAGATGAGTCGGTGTGAAAATGTGGGAAAGATGGTCAAAAATGTGATTTAATGTGCTTCTCTTAAAAGCAGTTGTAGGTTTGGTGGTTGAATAAAAATGGGAAGGAGAAAGCTGTGTGACCACACAAAGCAGTTTTGAGTTTTGAGATTCAGTAAATTTGCCACTTCCCCTTTTTTTAACTGTCTTCTTTTTTATGTGGTGTCAAATCTGTGAAAAAGAAAACATTTGTTTGTACATGACCCGGTTGTACTTTTCCTCAGATGCCTGGTAATATCTAACATCTTCAGAATGAATCTAAATGGTAAATCATAATAATGTGGTTTATGATGACATATGAGTGCACTTTTCAAAGTACTCTACATCAGGATATTTCATTCTGACTGACAAGATGTACTTAACATGTACTTACCAAACAAACAAAAACACTATCTTTATAATAATGACCCTCATCAGTCAAATTAAATATTCTTCATATTTTATATTAGAAAACCAGACAGGAAAATGTTGTTTTTACTGCGCCAACCATTTTTTTTTTTTAATAAATCTGCAAAAATGTCAAAAAATTCTGTGTTTTTCTGTCAATATGGGGTGCTGTGTGTACATTAATGAGAAAAAAAATTTACTTAAATGATTTTAGCATATGGCTGCAATATAACAAAAAGTGCAAAATTTAAGGGGGTCTGAATACTTTCCGTACCCACTGTACATGTTAAAAACTTAAACCAGAAGAACAAACTGTTGACTTGTGTGCACTTTGGAAAGAATGTGTTTGCAAAGCAAAGTGGATCATCAGTCAAACTGACCATGTTTTTTGTCTAGAATTTGTTTTAATGCCTTTGGGTTGGTGGTTTTGGGGACAAGGTCAGAGAGGCCAGATTGAGAGGGTTTGGACATGCGCAGAGTAGGGATAGTGGTTATTTTGGTAGAAGGATGTTGGAGATTGAGCTGCCAGGCAAGAGGTCAAGAGGAAGGCCAAAGAGGATATATATGGATGTGCTAAAAGAGGACATGAAGTTAATTGGTGCGAGAGTAGAGGATACCAAAGATAGAGTTAGGTGGAAACAGATGATTCGCTGTGGCGACCCCTAACGGGAACAGCCGTGTAATACCCCAGTTCTTTTATTGGACAGTTCTGAATAACGAAGGAGTCTGTCTTTCTTCATTATAGTGCTGATTTATTTTAAACCACAAGCAAAATTACAAAACACAACCCGGGTTGTTCCTTCCTCCAGAGACACACACACTGCCTGCTGGAGAGAGGAGCCAGCGGAAACACAGAGCCTAATACATTTATAAGTTTTGGGCTAACCCCTTACACAGATGAAGTCAGTCCGCAGACTCCATCTCTTCTCTAGAGCTCCACAGGCTTGGAGCAGCTGGATTTTACCTAGTCATAACAAAATGAGGAATTTCAGTGTGTGTGTGTGTGTTGTCACGTGGTGTGTAACTAAGCATTCATTCAGACATAAATTTCTAACACAAGATTTAATACAAGAAAACAACTGGTGTCATGGTACACTTTTCAGAATCAACACCCTGCCTGCTAACCTTGAAACAAAACAGACTAGAGCAGACTTCAAATATTACTAAACTGCATTACTAACACATTTGATTCAACACATTAATGTCTAATAATTATCTGACTGATTTACTAATATCTAACAGCCGAAAGAAGAAGAAGAAGGGTTGGTGCTATCAGGTACCCCCAAAGATAACAAATTGCTATTCAAATTTATTTATTCCTTCTGCTGTTAGGTTGTTAAATGTTGTTAAGGCTAATGGATTAAATGAATAACAGCAGATTAAGGAGCAGTCTTTACTGACATGGTTACTGACGTCCTTATAGATGTCAGTGCCAGTTTCATTTATTTTATCTATTCATTTTTCTTATATGCTCATTTGCTTCACTGGTATACATGGTATAATAAATTGTAATATACTGTGATCTGTTTAATGTGGAGTGGTCTGAGCGTGTCTTGCTGTGTTTTGTTGGGAAGGCTGTCAACTGAATTGACCACAGCGATAAATGAAATGTTCTGATTCTAAAACAGGCCAAAGGGCACATTAAACCCAAAGAAATCTGTACAGCTCAACAGTGACATGAATGAAAATGTAAATCTGCTATAAAATGTGCAGTAATATTATTTCATATTTTGTGTGATTATAGTCTAGGTGACCTGAGCAGGAACCCAGTCAGAGTTCACGTAAACCTCTGAAGGAAATCTTTTTATGGGAGTCCAAATATTAGGACATCATCAGATACAGTGTAATTAGTGAGGATTTCCCCTTTAATTTTGTAAAAACTGTACAGTGATAATATACTAATGCACACACAGTAAGATTTTATTTAATACAAGTTATCTGATAAGTTAAGCGCAAGTTTAATTGACATTCAGTTGCTAAATTGTAAATAGTGACCCAATCTGAACGATCCATTGTAGCCACTTTCAGCACCTGTACCATAATTGCCCACGAAGAAGCGCAACAAAAAATCAAATGCCAGCCTACTAGACCGGGTTTTTGTAATCGATTGCCCATTTGACCGGAGTTATTTGTGTTGCGCTGTCTGAGATGGAGTCGCTGAACCAAGTCTCTGTAAAGCATAAAGCAGTGTGAGAAGTCAGTTAGTCTAGTTGACGAGAAGGAGTTTGTCCATTTTGTTGGCTAGTGAGCAGAGATTTGCTAGATGGATAGATGGGAGTCAGTGTACAGGTTTAAAGGATTTGTCCAATCTGACTTTTTGTATTCAAATTAAATATCACCCCTGCACAGCTCAGCATGTATCTGTACCAATTAACATCTTCATTCTAGCCCTTATAATAATCACACTACCGATTCTCCATTGCAGTACACTACCATGTGCACTCCTTAGCATGCAGTGCTACCACATGCTGAAGGAGACAAATAGTAGATCTTCATTTATTATAATATTGTTTTCCATTTGTCTTCTTTTCTGTCGAACCCAAGGTGTCAGTGATTAATGGCTCCAGCCCCTTTGCAAGTGCGTACGACCTTAACAACATCATTAGGAGCTACCAGGAGAGAAACTGTGAGTTGCTTCCTTTTTATTACTGAATATGAATATACAGTGTATTACACATGCATTTTGTAGAATGTGACAACTCTCATTTCTCTCTCCCTCTTTTTATGAACACAGTGACCACGACACTGTACTGCCCCATGCCAGTCTGGACTGTGGGACGAGCTGCTACCTCTCCCTTTGAGCTTAATGCTGAGATCAGGTACCCTATGGAGGTCATTAGATATCCTTTCATAAATAAAGGAGAGGGTGTGTGTTTTGACATAGAATATACAGTACTTAATTGTAATTTTTTGAAAAGATTTGTTTTCCAAGCCATCCATTATCTATACAGTTTATTCTGAGGAGGGTCATGGGGGGCTGCAGCCAATCCCAGCTGACACTGGGTGAGAGGTGGGGTCCACCCTGGACAGGTCACCAGTTTATCACAGGGCTGACATTTAGAGACAGACGATAACACACACCCACACTCACTCCTACAGGCAATTTAGAGTCGCCAGTCAACCTAAGCTGCATGTCTTTGAACTGTGGGAGGAAGCCAGAGTACCCGGAGAGAACCCACGCAGGCACAGGGAGAACATGCAGACTCTACAACAGCGCTAACCACTGCACCACCATGTAATTCTTTGCCTTTACTTTTACCTTAAGTACTATATAAACTGAATCAGGCAAAACAACTGACTGAGGAAAATAGCAATGATATGGCCATACATGTAATTCAAATGTCAGTACAATATTTAAATACATACATAACATCATTTATGAGCTTAATAACCAATCATATAACCCCAAATTATCAATAAACAAATGACCAATTAATCAATCATCCAGATAATCAGTGAAAATATGAAAAGTATATTAATCAAGCAAAATATTTTCTTATTAAGACTCAGTATATCATATATCTATATATATCAGTATGGAAAACATGCACAAAAGGCAAAGCTTGACATACAGTGCATCCAGAAAGTATTCACAGCGCTTACCTTTTTCCACATTTTGTTAGGTTGCAGCCTTATTCTAAAATGGATTAAATTCATTATTGTTCTCAAAATTTTACAAACAATACCCCATAATGACAATGTGAAAAAAGGTTTTTTGAAATCTTTGAAAATTTATTAAAAATATAAAAAACAAAAAAAATCACATACATAAGTATTCACAGGCTTTGCTCAGTACTTTGTTGAAGCGCCTTTAGCACCTATTACAGCCTCAAGTCTTTTTGAGTATGATGCTATAAGCTTGGCACACCTATTTTTGGGTGGTTTCTCCCATTCTTCTTTGCAGTACCTCTCAAGCTCTATCAGGTTGGATGGGGAGCGTCGGTACACAGCCATTTTCTGATCTCCAGAGAGATGTTCAATTGGGTTCAAGTCTGGGCCAAGGACATTCACAGAGTTGTCCCGTAGCCACTTTTTTGTTATCTTGGCTGTGTGCTTAGGGTCATTGTCCTGTTGAAAGATGAACTGTTGCTCCAGTTTGAGGTCCAGAGCACTCTGGAACAGGTTTTCATCCAGGATGTGTCTGTATATTGCTGCATTCATTGTTCCCTCGATCTTGGCTAGTCTCCCAGTTCCTGCTGCTGAAAAACATCCCCACAGCATGATACTGCCACCACCATGCTTCACTGTAGGGATGGTATTGGCCAGGTGGTGAGCGGTGCTTGGTTTCCTCCAGACATGACTCTTGGCATTCAGGCCAGAGAGTTCAATCTTTGTTTCATCAGACCAGAGAGCTTTGTTTCTTGTGGTCTGAGAGTCCTTCAGGTGCCTTTTACTGAGGAGTGGCTTCTGTCTGGTTCTCTACCATACAGGCCTGATTGGAGGCCTGAGTGGTGGAGTGCTGCAGTGATGGTTGTTCTTCTAGAAGGTTCTCCTCTCTCCACAGAGAAATGCTGGAGCTCTTTCAGAGTGATTGGGTTCTTGGTCACCTCCCTAACTAAGGCCCTTCTCTCTCGATCGCTCAGTTTGGTCGGGCAGCCCGCTCTAGGAAGAGTCCTGGTGGTTCCAAACTTCTTCCATTTACGGATGATGGAGGCCACTGTGCTCAGTGGGACCTTCAATGCTACAGAAGCTTTTCTGTACCCTTCCACCGATCTGTGCCTTGATACAACCCTGTCTCGGAGACCTACAAACAATTCCTTGGACTTCATGGTTTGGTTTGTGCTCTAACGTACACTGTTAACTGTGGGACCTTATATAGACAGGCGTATGCCTTTCCAAATCATGTCCAATCAATTGAATTTTTCCACAGGTGGACTCCAATCAAGTTGTAGAAACATAAAGATTTCAAACAAACTTTTTTCACATTGTCATTATGGAGTATTGTTTGTAGAATTTTGAGGACAATAATGAATTTAATCCATCTTGGAATAAAGCTGGAACATAAGATGTGGAAAAACTTCAGCGCTGTGAATCCTTTCTGGATGCACTGTAGGTGGACACACACTTTGCAAGCTAGTCATACACTTTGTGTCATTTGTCATTATTCACAGTGTCTGAGTTTTTTTTCCCAAAATCAAGTTGGACTGGATTCAGCCTTTTTGTAGCTAGTTTTGCCTTAACCATCTCCCTCTACCTATAACCCTGGCTTCTGGGAAACCATCAAATTTGCCTGGATCCAGTACATCAGTGTCCTCCTCATCTTCCTTTGGGTCTTTGAACGCATCCAGAGATTTGTTTTTCAAAACCAGGTTCTACCCACCGTACCTGTACCCATGGGAAAACCGCACCTGTCATGATGCAGTGGCTGTGCTCTGAGCTTCACCTATATAAGAACCACAGCCTTTTGTTGTGCTCCAGTTGTAACCCATGGTGACACTATAACACTCACCAATAGTGTAATAATAGTAGATATAGTTTAATATTATTTCAGACATCAGAATAATGTAGGTCCGTTTTAAATTGTTCACAGTAGTTCTTGCAGTTTACTGGTATTGACTGCATGGTGTTTCACATTGACCAATAGATCTCCCATGACCTTGCATGTTCCTTTAATAATTTGGCCATATTTTACTTACAAATGCTGAGTGACACACACATTCTTATTTTCAGCTGTCCCTGGACAGGTCAATAATTCTAGCCCTGAAAAATGCATTTTTCTATTGGAAACAATGGAAATGTCGAAAAAATTAGAAATGATTTTCTTTATTTTTACTAGTTGCATGTTTATGACAGTAGTCTGTGGTGATACACAATATAAAAATGAATGAATTTATTTTTGTATTGTGCATCACTTTAGGCCATTAATAATAAATGATTTGTACATTTTAGCATTTTGTATCTTCATCTATAAAGCTTTCATTTGCTTTCATCATTTAATGCTTTTTGGACTTAAAAGCTTCATTTGTAACAGCAATAAAACCCGTTTGATTTATGAAAATAATGATGCCATTATTACAAAAACGTCTTAAGAAGGGTGGAAGGACAGAGCTTAATGTTTTCTTTTAAAGGCATTTTTCTGTTGTCAGTCCTTCAGGCATGTTACAAAAATATGTGTTGGATTAATTTCCTGCTATACCCCACGCTCAGCATAATACACCTGACCACAGAAACAGACTTATCTTGGCCTCATACACTGGGAAACTTTTTCTGTGATTGACAGACCGCATTTATAGGGTTGAGGTTAGTAAATCTTTGAGTCAAATGACTGAGCAGGCCACAGTATGAGTGCAGTATCTAAAACTCTCATCTGTCCTGAAGATATTTACATTGTAAACATTTTACAGCCACCCTCATGTGAAGTGATACAGTCTTAGTGCAGCTACAGACAGAGAAATGGTGTTAGACATCCTAATTAAAGCTTTTTTTAAAATGCCATTTGTCCTTGGCCATACCAGACCTACTGCAGATGAAATTTAGATGACCAAAACTGAGATTACCAGAGTACACAAAGTTCAGTGTTGATTTTAGTCTCTGTATGGGATGATTCATGCCTTTAAAGGTACAGCATGGGACTTCTGGGAATCAAGCTAGTGGTATAGCATGAGACTCAAAATCAATCCAGTCTGGCTCGGCCCTCTCTCTCCCTGCTCTGCCACAGGCCAGAGACTCAGGCCAAATTATACAACACAGAGAAATGATCAAATCAAATTTTATTTGTATAGCGCCAAATCACAACAAAAGTCATCTCAGGACACTTTACAGAGTAAGGTCTAGACCTTATTGTTATCACTATTATTACATAGGGAAAACCCAAAGATCCCTCTTGAGCAGCACTTGGCAACAGTGGGGAGGAAAAACTCTCTTTGACGGAAGAAACCTCCGACAGAGCCGGGCTAT